TCTTCATTACCCATTCAAGCCGTCTCCAACCATTAATGAAAAAGTACTTTAGTTTATCAAGTTAAGATTACTCTTTAAGTTTAAAAACTTTGTATGATTTAAGCCTAAATTTTGACATGAATTTCATAAAAGGTTTGGCCAAGATTTCTTTCTTGTGTTCATAATTCTGAAATTGAAAACCCATTCAACAAGAGCATTAAAACATTGTGTTGTATGTAAAAGCTTAAACTATAATTATAGATCTGAACTTTCTCCTAGATATTAAAGATCTAGAAAAATTACGTAGGCCTACATTTCCATGTTCTTTAGTCTTAAAGTTAAACCAAAAGGTATTTTCATTCAATTTTCCCACTTCAGTATCTTACCCTTCCATTGAATCTAATGAAGCAGTTTTTGCAGTCTTCCAGAGATGTGTGTCATGCACTTTAATGAATTACAATGGTTTTGGGTGTTAAGATAGTATAATATTTATTACATAAAAGACATTTTAGTGCAATACAGAGTGGTTCACTAAGAGTTTAATCCTTCACAAAACTTGTGCTTTAGTCCAGTTGGACTTAAATGAGTTGTTAAATGTATAGTTAGGAAAATATCCAACTGAAAAAGTTAAGCCTTTTCTATCCAATGTTAAGAATAATTGTCCTTAAAATACAACAACATTGAAACAATTGAGCATCTGACTTTCCAGTCTTCAGTTCTTTTATACTTTTCTTTGCTACCAGACTTTGAGACAGAATGATCTTTGAATGTTGACAAAACATCTGATCAACTTGTTTAAATGGGTTGCCAGACTTACTTGAACGTGGTAACCAAAACAGAGACCTTGTCACCGTATCATCTTGTTTTACTATGAGAGTATTGTTAGTTAACTACCCGAGTATGAGCTGGTGTCATGCGTAAGCTCATGAGAGACTCATCACCAGTGGTGAGGGTACATCTTAAATATACTGCGAACCGTGGTGTCTGTTTGAGTGTTCATCTGTATTCCATTTGAAAAGCTCAACATTCAGTTTTAAAATGAAGGGAGAACAGGCATCAATAATATTGATATCAAATTTTGTTTTGCAAGCAGGATATTCTACACTAAATTGTTAGGAATTAATCACACTATCATTCACATTTCAAAAATGTGACGTAACTTAAAGAATAAAAATGTAGATTTACTATATGTTATTGTTGAGCAACTCTTAGCATGACTGAAATGCTCAACAATTACTTTTCGTGGTGGGAGGTGTAAGTAGCTCACAGTTTTGGCTCCGAGTGAAACCAAGAGTACAACACAATTAGTTTTTTGAAAGTCTATGAAATAATGTGTAGATTAACTTAAAGTTTTCCTGTCCCTGGGTTGGGTGCTTTTGGTTGTGAAATATAAATATAGTAATAATTAACAAAAGTAAAGGAATACCACCTTACAAAATTTTACCCTTTGGTCAGACAAGAATAGCTCAAGAGATTGCAGATGGTGTTATTGACTAGATGTCTTTCCTCAAACAAACATCTTTGTTCTTGATGGTTTTGTATCAAAGGTTGAGCTTACTGCTGCAAATTTTCTGTAATGAAGTACAAGTTTCTTTTATTGGCATCTTTTAAAAGTTATCCATGTTTTTATTAATGTTTTTCATAGTTGTAGATATTTTTAGTTCTAAATGTAAACTTAGATAAATTAATTTTTCATGGTTTCCTTCAAATTATTCATTGCAATAAATAGTAACTTCATATTAAAGAACATCTTAAAACTGACAAACAATTGCTATAAGTTTAAAACATTTCTGTTTTAGGTCTTTAGCAAGTAGGAATACGGCTGAATAATGGCATCATCCTCAAGTAATATACAGGTAAGCAACATTGTCAGACAGGTTTTTTTTTTTTTTGAGATTTAAAATTGAAATGCCTTATAGATAAAACATCTTTGTATTAATATTATAACAGTTGTTTTGTTTTGGGGGGGGGCTTATAAGTAAAAATTTTAAATTCAATATCGTAATTAATAAATTGGTATACATCCAAAGAAGTGTATTGAATTGATGTGTAAAACTATGGTCTGCTGGCTTCATTTGGGTGGTTCATGGAAAAGCTGCTTAACTAAGGAAAGGAAATAACAACATAATGTATAGATCTGCTGAGATTAGAATAAATTTAGGTGGTCCACTAAGAAAATGTTTGAGAACCATCGATTGAGAAGGATTATATAAATGTTGTGACGTAATAATAATATGTATCTGTATACATAATTATGTTGATCGCTATTAAAAATGTTTATATCAGCAGCAAGAGACGGGACATTCTTCAGTTGTAGCTCAACATTACAACCAGCTAGAAGAGAAAGGTCGGGCTGCCCGAGCTGAAAGTCGTATTTTCTACCTTAGAAATTTCAATAATTGGATAAAAAGCATGTTGATTGGTAGGACATTTATATTTCTATTAAGTGTATTAATTTTTATTTTAAAAGTTAAAATATGGTAATTCCAGGCACTGATTTTATTTACAGTGTGAAGATTGTCTTGAACAAAAATAGGATGTATACATCAGTTTTTGCTGTTTCTTATAAATTTCGTTGCTTTGTGCTAATATTTTGATACAAAAATGTTGTTAAGTTGAAAAAATAAGTTAAAACAAATGTTCCATCACACGTACATTCAGTTTACACTAGGCCAAATGACGTAGATTGTGTCTAGAAATGTCATATTTGTGCTGATTTTGTGTGCAAATTTCACCGTATGACTGTGTGTTAGTAATTTTGGTCACAAAAACCAAGTTTAAATCATGTGCACTTAAACAAAAATTTTAATTTTGAATAATTGTTTTGAGTATTTGTGTTTAAATGTATAATTCAGAACAACTAAACTATACAACTGTAAAATATTAGATTTTTTCTGTTTTAATTGTCTGTAGACTGTAAATGTAGCGTTATGTTTAACAGAAATAAGATTATAAATGAAACGTGGGGTTTACCATTGTCATGCTATGAATCCTGTGTCTTGTAAAATTCAAAGCTGTTTCCACCTGACACATTACTTTATAAAAGTAAATATGTAAAAATAAATACTCAGATAGTTTATCCATAAATACTTGTTTGTTCAAGTAAACTGTAATATATTAAGTTATAATATTGGCACTGACAGTTTGGTTCAGATTTAATCAAGATACGGACATTTCAAATAATGTACTATGATAGTTAAAAATATGGAGTATGTCAGAAATAAGCTTTCACTGAACTCACCTTGTTTTTACGATTTTAATGTTGATTTCAGTCTAAAACAAACATGGAACTAAATATAATGATATGTTTAATCATTCTATTTTCACTGCTTCAAACTTTGATACTTTTGGAAGACAGGCCATCTTTCTTTAAAGTGAATTAGGAATGAGAAGGAAGTGCTGAGTGTAACATCACAACGAAAGTTGGTTTTAAACAGGATTGTTGCAGGGAAGACTGATTTACAGTGTATGAAAAAACAGAAAAGGGTAGTTTGTGAAACAAACAGAATAAAAGAAAGGGAAGAATGAAAGAGATGATTTAAAAGATAAAGGCAATTTCAAAAGTAACCTGATAAGTAAAATTAGGTACAGTATTTGTAGCATGAAGATTTATAAAATATAGCTAATTTAGAACAAAAGTAGAAAAAAGAATATTTATAAAAAATTGGGATTTCTTTAACTATGAAGGTTTAGATACTGTGATTATAGACTAGAATAGTGACCCAAGTCATAGTTAATTCCAGAACTTCCTTGACATTTTGTCTGGTACAGTCCTATCACCAACCATAACATACAAAGACAGGTTCTGTCTCAGCATTGTTCATTTCAACTTTAAAATTAAGTATGTTAGTTTCAGTTATGTGCTTGTACTGCATTACAATATTGCCAACTTTATTCTTTAGTTTTTACAGTAATTTGCTGTTCTTGAATTACTAATTTCACTAAGATTCATTAAAGTTGAAGTTATGGAATTGAAGGGCCACGTCGAATAAATCATGTCCATTTGGTCAGCAGTTTTTTAGCCCTGCAGCTTTCTGTGAGTGTAATCGTGACACGTGTACAAAAAAAACATGATAAAACATTTAATATTATACATGACATTTAAAGATGTATTTTTATTGATGGTTGTCTGTTTTTGTTGCTAACTAAATGATGAGGACTCATCCTTCATTTTTATACATTAATATAAAATAAATTAGCTATTTAGAAGAAATAGAAGTAGGTTACTAAAAGAAGTAGGTGTTACAGAGTGCCAGAAATGTTATTTACAGGGAATGTGAGGAATATTTATAACTGACTGAGAGGTTTTTTTGAGAATATTGGTTCATTTATGCATAAATCTTTATGATAAGAAGCAGATAATCTTGGAAATAGAGCTGTCGTGTATACATATAATAACAGTGTGTTATTTTCAGGTGAATTTCTACAGAGAGTGAAGGAAGACAAAGGAAGAGAGGCAGAAATTAATGTTTTAGATATTGGAGCTGGGAAAGGAGGAGATTTGCTCAAGTGGAAAAAAGGAGACATTAACCATTTAACTTGTGCAGGTAAATTGTGGTTGGTTTGATGGCAACTTATGATTGATGTTTATTTGTTGATATATCTTCAAGTTTAAACATCATCTGTAAGCTATCTTTAATGGAAAGTTTCTTCATAATGAATTTTGTGATGTATGGATAAAAAGTTATTTGAAAAAACAAGTTCTTTATTTTTTCTGCTAGATCAGTAAAATGTGTCAAACTGTATTGTATCTTACTAAAACACTATCCTCTCTATGGTTATACAGATATTGCAGGCACTTCGATGGAACAGTGTCAGCAGAGATACAGAGATATGATGAATAGAAACAGGAGACAGAGGGACCGAGGAAGGTGTTTTACAGCTGAATTTATAACAGCTGACTGCACAAAGGTAACAATATTATAAACCATTTTAACCCTTTCTCTACAGGCTCAGTATAAAATACACAAGTTTGTATATATATTTGTATACGTTAAGTATTTACAGTATAACTTTTAATATAGTATGTTTTTCTTCACAAAAATTTGTAGACTTTTAGTAAAGATTACAAGCCTTTCATGCATAAAAAAATCCGATTTTTTAATGAAGTATTTTTATTATAAACTTGTTTGTGAAAATATTGAGTCTGTTTCATTATATGTCCAAGTGCGAAGTCATTTTCACGTTATAACTTAAAAAAATATTGTTCGTCCCATAAATCTCAAATATTATTTATGTAATCTCTATAACCTGCTAAATACATTTCAAACATTTGTTTTTCAGTAAAACTATATTTTTTCTGTTATTTTCTCTACCCTAACTCCATGGGGTCTGTCCATTTGACCAGCCTCGTAACCACCATAAAAAAATAAGGAAATAAATTTAAATTTTCATTCTAGAATGACTACAGATTATAACACAAAAACACAAATGTTTAGTCTAAGTAGCTTAAATCTCCTAACATTATACATTTATATATATATGTATTATTTTTATTATATGGACCTTTCGACCATGCCTGACTAACATGACAGTTGCAGTAATGTGGCAACATGCACTGGTGTTATCATATCCAAGAATATAAAACTGGCTGTGTTTTAATGGACTAGTATTTTTGTGAAATACAGTCACATTTCAGTTATAATAAATTATAGATGTATATACATTATTATTATTTACAAATATGTTATTTGTTATTTTTCTTAAAACATTGAATAGTAAATAAAGAATTACAGAAAATAATTATATCTTCTAGTTATGACCTTTGTACTTGTTTGCTTCTTGCCATAGGTTGCTAAGCCTTATCAAATTTTGCGTGTGGAGGATGTGAAACAAAATAATTTTTTTAGGTTTTATATATACATTTGAATAACCAAAAAATCATAAATTACTGTATCAGTACTATAGTATTCCACTATAATTTATTAAACTTAGTAACAGAGCTGTATTAGGGTCTAAAAAAATGAAATTTCAAGCTCACTAAAGTATCACCTTAGCTTTTCGAATCTAAGCTTTAACCCTATTGCGCCAGGTCACGTGTCAAAGGCAATGTCATCTCGTTTGTTGAATTGCATTCAAAATTTTATGGAACTACTGTTTTATGAATTTATGTCAATAAGTTTGTTATCAAATTGTAGATTATAATTCAACTTTTAGTGTTACACATTAGTTAATTTCTTAATTCAAAAGTAAATATTAAAAAAATACAGCTAAACATCGGTTTTTGTGTGTTGTATCGTATGTTGAACGCAGCACTGGTTCAAATTAGGTGTTCCTGAAGTTAAAATACTAAATCGATCATTTTGTATGAAATAGAAACTCAAATTACCGATATTGACAAGCTAGAATATAAAATAAGAACCTCTTATCTTTTCTATTTACTAAGATATCACTCATGTAGTGAATTAAACACAGTGGCCCCCTGCCCACCTCTTTCCATTTAACATTTAATTAAACTGCTTTATAATCATCATATACAAGTAAACTTGGCATCAAAATGTAGTTAATGAATCATATTTTAATATTTTATAAAGAAGTATTTAAAAAATCCCCAATCATCCCTAGTATGAGATTTGTGACAATTGTTCTGTAGGGTCTTCTCTCTCCTCTAATCATCCCTCTGAGAAGTATGGAATTTAATTTAAATTACACATTATAATATATATATTGCTAAGTTAAAGCATAATTTTTACAATCTTCAATCTTATTTGTTTATGGCCTAAAAAATCAGACCCACTTGCCATGCCAATCTGTCACATCCTCTCTTTCACAATTTTTCAGTAGTTCTCTCTGACACTTTATACTATATTATTTGTAACCAATAGAAAGCCGAGGTTTTAATCTATCTATTGATGTATTGTATTACATTGTTTGCAGTACACAGAATTGTTTATTTTGTCTTCAGTTTGAAATTTGCTCTTGAAGTCTCCAGAGTAACAAGCTTAAGGTAATATTTAAAGGCTCTTATGCTAAAGTTAGAAAGCCAAAAAACTCATTATACTCCTAAGACAATGTTTGCTTTGTGCATGCTAGTATTCTGTAGTATTATTTAAGTAAATAAAAATTTAGTGTATTAATACCATTAGTATAAAAAAGTAGGCTTATATTCCCTTGGTAACTGACAACAAAAAACGAGGTCACATGTAAGTGATATATTGTTTGTTATTATTATAAAAGTAACTAAAATGTAAAAATTAGAAACTTTCTAGGTTAGGTAAGATAATGAAAAGTTATCATAATAATTCTTCACATGGTCTTCTTGAGAGCAGCCTGTGCATTAACCCTTTCACTCTAGTTGGTTAAAGTGTGCATGTCACGTTTTGGAGTGTTATTTTCAAAATTTTATTAAATCACTTTTTTACTACTAGTGTCTTTGAAATTGGTATCAAAACTTAGATTATAATTGAAATTTTAATATTATATATGTTTTAATTTCTTAATTTTAAAGGAACTATAAAAAAAAGCTAAATATCAATATTTATGTCACATAACGTCTAATTGTCTTATTGCTCACTTTACGTTGTGTACAGTGGCTGAGATGGCAATATTTTTAGCGAATCTACTAATGGCTCCTCCCACTACTTTATTATTTTGAAACCTTTTGTCTAGTCCCACCTACAAATAATTAGCACTTGTTTATAACCAATAAAAAGAGCAGTTTCCCTTTTACATAAATCTAACAGTTATTTGTTAATAATAGAATATATAAAATAACTGAAGTTTGGAGTCAGAGCATTGACTACTCCAACTTCAGTTATTTTATATATGGAGTCAAGAGTGTTGATTACTCCAACTTCAGTTTTTATATATGAAGTAAGAGCATTGACTACTCCAACTTCAGTTATTTTATATATGGAGTCAGAGTGTTGACTACTCCCCAACTTCAGTTATTTTATATATGGAGTCAGAGCGTTGACTACTCCAACTTCAGTTATTTTATATATGGAGTCAGAGTGTTGACTACTCCGAGTTCGGTTATTTTATATATGGAGTCAGAGTGTTGACTACTCCAACTTCAGTTATTTTATACAAGTAGTCAACAATCTGACTCCATATATATAATCACGGATAAATTTTTAATAAAAAAATACTAAATTGAAAAATATGTTTGTTTATGTCTAGAAAAAGCTTGTAATGTTTACTGAAAGCTTGCTAAATTTCATGAAGATACACAATACATATTTAAAGTTATAGTATGGAAACTGATGGTCATGTAGTTATCTCAGGCAAATCACAGAAGGGTTTAAAGACTAGACTGGTATTTTGTAATGAGATTGATATATAAAAATCCTTGACTGTTAGATTGAACAAATTTAAACCAAAAAATTCTTCTACTTCATGTGGTATTCTTAGAGCTAATTCGTTATCAACAATCTTATGCCAGAGGTTGTATAAGTATAAACACAATGATCCAAGACAAAGATTATTAAAAACAAATGTAAAAAATCTAGATTTGTTAAAGAATTAATCTGGTTTTCCCCAGGTCAACCTGAAGGAGAAGTACAACGATCCCAGTATCCAGTTCGACATAAGTAGCATCCAGTTCAGTTTTCACTATTGTTTTGAGAGCCTTGCTCAAGCAGAATGTATGATTCAGAATGCGGCAGAGTGCTTGCGACCTGGAGGGTATCTTATCGGCACAACTCCCGATGCAAACGATATAGTGTGAGATACTACGAAAATTTGTGGTCACATGGAATATTTCTAGGTTTTAAGTAGTGGGATGCTAACTTAAAAACTAGAAATACTTGCTTTGACTTGTAAGTGTATTAATATATTTTTCAAGTTTAATAAGAGAAAAGATTTATTATTTTCTGTTTATTGTTTTACTTAATTTTAAACCTCAGTTTCTAAAATGTTTTCTTTGCAATTTTTAACAGGAGACGTGTCAATGAGGCTGAAGGGTTGAGCTTTGGAAACGATATCTTCTCTGTTACGTGTGAGTCGAAAGACAGCTTCCCTATCTTTGGAGCAAAATATGACTTTCATTTGGAAGGTGTGGTCGACTGCCCAGAGTTTCTGGTTTATTTTCCTGCTGTAGAAAAGTAAGTCGAAAAAACTTAAATATTATCTTTCTTTCCTTCCAGGATTTTTTCTAGATGAATTTCTAGTCTTATTGAGTAATTTTAAGCTGCAGTAGGTAAAAGAATTTAGATATCGTTGAGAATTTCCTCACATGAGAATCTTCAAAACAAAATAACTGTCTACAGATTGATAAGTAGAAATCTAGAAAGACCAGTAAAAAATAATAATTTAGCTAAATATTACTCTATGTGGGGGTTTGTTTAGAGTAAATAAAGCTATCTACTCGCAACTACTAGAAAAGAGGAAAGTTTTTTTATTTTATTAGTGAATAATTATGATAATTAAAACAAGATGGAAGATGAATGTTTTCTTTTACTGGTTTTTATCATTATATTTTTAATAGAAATTTTGTAGTAGTTTGTCACACATTGATGAAGTGGTTATAAACATTATTCGTAGTCGTACGACAGGAAGATGCAGTCTCATTGGTTTTAACTTTTAAACTCTCCTGCATGTATATATGAAAAGGTTGTAAGTGTACTAGAAATTTAAACTTTACTAACTTTATTTTAGAATTGCAGAAGAAAATGGTTTGAAATTGGTGTATAAGAAACGATTTGAAGAATTTTTTTATGAATATAAAACAACTGAAAATGGCAAGACTCTTCTCTCTAAAATGCATGCTTTAGAGGTAAGTAGTTTTTGTGTGAATTAGTTTTGTCAAGTGTGGTGTATATAAAGTTTTTGGTATATCTGTAGTGGAGTAGATATGGGACGAGATGTTAACTTCTGAAAAAAAAAGCAGAAAAACTTGCTTATAGGCATTTTTAGATAGGCTGATTTCAAAAATACTTGGAACCAGTATGGCCAACACTTGCTAATTTCTAAATGTCTCAACGCACATGTGGTCTCATCTTAAATAACGGTGGTGATACAGTGCAAACAATCATGGGATGGTTTGTCCAAAAACCCATACATACAGAAGAAAGAGACCTTCACATTGTGAGGGTGGTGTAGTTCGTTATCTTTGATTTACTGTCCCGCTCCAGTGAGAGTGGAGTAGTTCGTTATCTTTGATTTACTGTCCCGCTCCAGTGAGAGTGGAGTAGTTCGTTATCTTTGATTTACTGTCGTGCTCTAGTGAGGGTGGTGTAGTTCGTTATCTTTGATTTACTGTCCCGTCCAGTGAGTGTGGAGTAGTTTGTTATCTTTGATTTACTGTTGTGCTCTAGTGAGGGTGGTGTAGTTTGTTATCCTTGATTTACTGTTGTGCTCTAGTGAGGGTGGTGTAGTTCGTTATCTTTGATTTACTGTCCCGCTCAAGTGAGAGT